GGCGTCGTCGGCGAGCGGCACGAGCGCGTCGTCGACGGGCGCCGNNGCGGCGCCGTCGTCCATCATGGGCACCGTCGACGCGTCGTCGGTGACCAGGGAGACGCCGAGCGACATCGCGCGCTGCGCGTGTGTCCGCGTCGCCGCGTAGGCCGCGAGGCCGACGAGGAGCGCCGCGAGCGCGACGAGCCCGCCGGTCCGCCCCCGAGCCGTGTCGACCATGGTGATGTAACTCAATCGGTGGGTTCCAGAAGAGATTTAACCTACGTTGACCTCCGTATCCGCATTTCGAGTGTGCCCATCCATCAGGCATGGCAGCCCACGAGGCGCCGCCCCCGCGGCGATCGCGGGGCGCCGCCGTGGCCGCCGCCGCGGGCTGCGCCGTCGCGCTCGCGTCCTGCGGCGCGCTCCTCCGCGGCGCCGCGCCGCGAACCGACATGGCGTCGCTCGCCACAGAAAAATGGACGCCGTCGGTCCAGGCCGAGGCCGAGGCCGAGGCCCTCGCCGCGTCGTCGTCGGAGACGACGACGGTCGTCCGGCTCGAGGACTGGCTGAATTTCCCGAGCGTCTGCAAGTGGATCGAGAAGTACCTCGACTACGACAACTGCGAGAACGCGGACGAGACGGTGCTCGTGCAGTACCTGCCGACGCGCATGGAGTTCAAGCTCAAGGAGGAGCTCGTAAAAAAGTCCGTCGGCGCCCAGGCGCTGACGGGCCACGTGGCCTTCAACCTCGCGGCCTACTCCGGCGGGCCGAACACGATTCTAGCCTCCTGGATGGTCATCGCCGACTACTACGGCAACATCAAGACCATCGAACCCGTCGAGTACGAGGGCGACCTCTACCGCATCTTCGCTTTGAAGATGTGGGACGACGCGAAGCTGGTCATGGCCGGCGGCAAGAGCGGGAAGTTAAGGGGACCCGCGTTCACCTTCGACTGGAGCACCGGTTCGCTGGACACGCTGATCACGAAGACCTTCGACATCCACGACATCCAGCGCGCCCACGAGGGCACGGACATCTGGACGTTGGGGGCCGATCTCACCTACCAGGAGCTGTCCGTCGCCAAGAACGGCAAGGAGATCATGTCGAACGACCTGTCGAAGACGACGACGATCGCGGACCCGAACCACTTCCAGCTCATCGACGACGACGCCTACGCCATCGTGTCGGCGCGTCTGAACAACGCCATCTACAAGATCCACGTCGAGACGGGCAAGGCCGAGTGGATCCTGGGCGGCGCGGACGGCGAGTTCTTCATGTACGGCCCCGACGGCCAGACCTATGTAGCCGGCGACTCCTACTGGTACGGCCAGCACAACGCCGAGTACTTCGGGGACAACGAGTTCCTCATGTTCGACAACAACTACGACGAGGAGCTCGTCGACGCGTCGCGGAACTCGCGGCTGTTGGCGGTCAAGATCGACGACGTGTCGATGACGGCGAACATCACGTTCCAGTACGACCTCGACACCTACAGCAACATCTTCGGGGACAACGACCGGCTGCCGACGGCGAACCTCCTGGCGTGCTACTGGCCGTCGGACACGATGGACTTCGACAACCAGTTCTCGGCGAAGATCATCGAGCTCGACCGGTCGACGTCGGAGACGGCCTTCGAGCTGAAGATCGTCAACCAGGAGATGACGTCGGCCGAGTGCGAGCACGACGTCTGCCGCATCCAGGACGGCTTCTTCATGTACTCCGTCGAGCGGTTCTACGACGCGCCCCTGGTCTACGACGTGTCCTGGGAGCCGAAAACTTCGGAGCTCACGTTCACGACGCACAACACGTACAAGCAGTCCGCGAAGTACGCCGGCGTCGCCCACGTCTACGACGAGAAGGGCGTGTTGCAGACGACCCAGACCTTCGCCTTCGCCGCGTTCTGGCGGGAGGCGTCCGTCACCGTGACCGGCGTCACCGCCAAGGGCACCGTCGTCGTCGCGAACGCCCACGGCACCTCGAGGACCGTCTCCTTCTCCTGAGGGGGAAGGGGTGGCTCCTAACTTGTTTCGGCTCTCGCATGGGTATGGACAATGACGACTTCAAGCACGAAATGCCTCCGCAACTTGCACTTCGCGAGGTGCCTCTCGCTCGCGCAAGCTCGTCGTCCGCGCCGCCGAACGCTCGACGCGCCGCCGCGCGCGCGCCGCTCGTGGACGATGATGGAGATCGTGGACCAGCAGATCTTCGAGCTGAAGAAGCTGTGGAAGAACAAGCGGCTCCTGCTGCACCAGGGCCTGAACCTGGCCATGATCGTCTTCAGCGCGTTGATGATCTGGAAGGGCCTCATGTTCGTGACGAAGAGCGAGTCGCCCGTCGTCGTCGTGCTCTCCGGGTCCATGGAGCCGGCGTTCCAGCGCGGCGACATCCTCTTCCTCAACAACCAGGACAACCCGATCCGCGTCGGCGAGGTCGTCGTCTTCAAAATCAAGGACCGCGACATCCCCATCGTCCACCGCGTCATGAAGGTCCACGAGAAGGCCGACGGCGCCGTCGAGCTCCTGACCAAGGGCGACAACAACCGCGTCGACGACCGGGGGCTCTACGCGCCGGGGCAGCTCTGGCTCGCGCGCGAGGACGTGCTCGGCCGCGCCATCCGGGGCGGGAACAAAATGATTCAAGGTCGCTTCAACGTGAGTGTTCCGCGCGCGCGCGTTCCGGAAAAAGCATCCACGCGTCGAGAGCGCTCCGAGGGATGATCGCTCGTCCCAAAATCAGCCGAAACGAGTGGAAACCGACCGAGAGAGGAGCCTCCAAAGTTGGGAATTTCGCACCCTTTTCCTGCCCAGGCGCCATCGGCACGCTGCGCTACGTGGGCATGGTCACGATCATCCTCAACGACTACCCGGCGCTCAAGTACGTCCTCGTGTCCATCATGGGCCTCTTCGTCCTCACGAACAAGGAGGAGGCCTAAGGTCCGCGGGGGGCGGTCGCCCCGCCCCGGAC